AAAAATAAAATATATTATTAATTTATTAAAAATAAAGTACATATTTATTATATTAAAGTTAACAATAATTATGCTAATATTATAATATTAGGCAAATAAAATAATAAATATATGTTGCATTTATTATTTTTTTAATTTTATTTTTAATTGTGTATTTATAAGTAAAATAAGGGTATAATAGTAAATTAATATTAATATTAGGAATGAGAGTCTCAATCCCAAGGGGGAGCATGGAAGTGTCAATCTCATTTCTCAATCCTAAATTTGAGTGGAGCCCACTAATTTCACTATCATTTCAAGATAAAAAAGAGCAAGTAAACATAAAATTGACTCTGGATTCCTTCTAGAAGTTTGACTTCTACTCTATAAATAAGAGAATGATAGAAAATTGCGCGAGACAATTTTTGACCTAATAAAGTATTATGGCCGAAATTCTCTTAGAGTAAGGGAAGGAAAAAAATTTCTCCAAAAATTCCACATCATGCATGCGTTGGTATTTGTGGAAATTCAAGTATTTATTCAACCCGTTTTGTCTCAGGTGTGTCCACACACACGTCTTTGTAGATTCTAGGAATTGACGTGAAAAACATTGATTTTCTAAACACAAAGCTTTGGAGCAAGGATTGTTCGAGGTCAAAGAACTCAAGTTATCATCCTAATCGGCCTCCGGGTATTATTCGTAATTGAGTTCTTAATAAATGAATTAATGAGATTAATTTATTCGTGCATAAATTAATATAATCTATAGAGTATCTCAAGGGTTTTATGAAAATTTTTGTTATACACGATCCGCCTCCCCCCACGCTTCTACATCCGAATTCGATTCGGAGACCAACATTTTTCTCTTATAAAAAATTTGAATTTCAAACGTCAGAATCAAGAATCATAGTTTGGGTATATGTTCCAAACAGGCCCTAATGAATCTCAACATCATAAGTAAGTTGAAAACTCATAAACCCCTCTAAAACTAAAGCCACCACAACTTTGGGGCTTACACATAGCATCCAACAACTTTAAAACAAATACTCTACGATTGAAAATGCGTTTTAGCAACCAAAACCTTCATAGCGGGACAATCAACCTAAAAGTCTTTTGTTTATAGAGTAATGAGATATCTCAAAAAGTTGAATTTAAATTTTTATAAGAAAAAATATCGTAGTAAAAAATTTGAATTATAATTTGAATTGTAAGACGAATGGGGCTGACTTATTATTTATGATGTGAAAGTCATATATTATAAAATGCATCCCAACTCTCATTGAATACAATTTTATATGGTTTATATGACTAGCAAATAAAAAAAATATTGTATGCTTTATATGACTAGCAAAAAAAGTTTTGTATGTTTATACATTACAACTTGTTGCTTATACGTTCAGTTTGCATTGTATCCAAGATAATAATTTTGCCAAAATTGGCATTACTCTACTCATAATTAATTATGTTTTGTTGGAAGTGCCTGCATGATTTCACACTTTACACCAAAATCTCATTCATACGTTTACTTACACCCAGAATCGGAATGAAAAAGTGTAAAAGTACTAATATACCCTTTAAATCAATTTGATATTTTTAATTTAAAAAATATATTGTGTACTTATTATATTAAAATTAATCATAATTAAAATATTTAGTGTAATAATTGGTACTAAAATAATAAATTTAAATTGTACAACTATTTAAAATATAAAAATAAATTTTAAATAAAATAAATAAAAATATAAAATAGTGTTAAAAAATAAAATATATTATTAATTTATTAAAAATAAAGTACATATTTATTATATTAAAGTTAACAATAATTGTGCTAATATTATAATATTAGGCAAATAAAATAATAAATATATGTTGCATTTATTATTTTTTTAATTTTATTTTTAATTGTGTATTTATAAGTAAAATAAGGGTATAATAGTAAATTAATATTAATATTAGGAATGAGAGTCTCAATCCCAAGGGGGAGCATGGAAGTGCCAATCTCATTTCTCAATCCTAAATTTGAGTGGAGCCCACCAATTTCACTCTCATTTCAAGATAAAAAAGAGCAAATAAACATAAGATTGACTCTCATTCCTCATTCTTCAATCTTGGTAAGTAAACATGCCATAAGTGTTAAATTATCCATTATCGGGGCTATAATCACCATTCATGCATTGACACACGCCCTAAATAGAGCAATCATATACAATATTTACAATGTTTAACGTGGATCAGTAGGCGATTTGCTTCCCAGTTCCAACTAATTATGATTAGAAACGAGTAGGAACAGATAACTCATTGTACGTTTTAACTAATGATTCAGTACTGCTTAATAAAGCAGCTCCTCACCGCTAATACAAGATAAGCTAATTATATTGTTAGTACTAGTACGTTATTGAATGGCGTACTCTCATCACCAAATATCCAATATATGTGATGTTAATACTTTAGAATTTTTAGAATTTTTGTCTCTTTATTTTTGAAATTATTACTACAGATTTCATCGTATTTTTGCATTTATCCTGGATTTTTATAAGATTTTAATTTTTATCTGTTTTACATGTTCCTTATTTTAATATAATATTAACTGATTAATTTTACATATATTTTTTTATTTTATTACAATTTTGACCTAATGCAATCTTCTAACTCGTTTTGATGCCACTGTTTTTCGTCAATGAGAACAGAAGGATGAGAAAGGACAAGCATAGTCCAACAGAGAAAACAGAATTATAATGGAAGAAGAAGGGGCACCATCTCCACGCGCTTCAAGAGCTATTTTACTGCACGTGCCAATACTGATCTTTGTGGGGATCACTGGATCAGTGGGGATTTCAGGTTCAGAATTCCATTTCTGCCCTTGGCCAATGGGGATTTGGGAGATGTTGTGGCACGCGCGTAGAGGGAGAGTGGGAAAAGGAAGACGCTGACTTATGAGTAGATAGTTGGAAGGCGGAAAGTGAAAAATGGTGGCGTATAGAGGGGAGAGGGAGAGAGAGGCTGTAATTTCAGAGAGTGAAGTGAAGGGGGCAGAAGTCGTACGCTTTTTTTCCATGCCTTTGACGTGCACTTAACACCGTCTACAGCCTTACAATGAACGGAGATGGAATTCTCTTGTACGTCTGACTAATCTAGTAACGGTAAATTAAATTATATTAATTATTAAAAGATTATTCATTTCACCAACTTGAGTTTAGAATTTAAATTTTAATACAATAAATTTTTTTTAAAAATAATTACATTTAATTTTTTTATTACAGTAAAAAATTATCACATAAAATTATATCACAACTCAAATTAAAAATTTAAATTAACGAACAAAATAAACCCTAACGTTGTGTATTTTTCACGTGATTTTATATAAATTTAAGAGTAAACTACATAAATAATTCCTAAACTCTTTAATAATTAATAATGTAATCCTTAATCTTTTTTTTTTAAAACGATCCTCAATTTTTTTAAAATGTGACAGTTTAATTATTTTTATTTAATTTTATTAAATTTTTAACAAAATTAGTATTGTATAAAATATGTAATATTATTAAAAGATGAGATTTATGAGTATAATTTTTGAGTTAAATTTAAATTATAATTTAAGTTAAAATTATAATTTAAATAAAATTAAATAAAATTAAAATTTAAAAGAACGTAAATTTAAATAAAGTGTCCGTTTGGTAAAATAACTGGCTCTCCTCTCTCTTTCTCTCTCTCTCATCTATCTGCTATCTCCCCCTCTCTCTCCCTCTCTGTTTTTTTTTTTTCACAACTTGTTTGACAAAATGGCTCGTAATTTGTTGCTGATGCTGCTTGGTTCTGAGAGAGGCTTCTCTGAAGCTAATTGGTTTGCATGGACGCTTGCTGCTGAAGTATATTACTTGTTTGAACAAGAGTCTGAGGTTGCAAAATTTGCGCCTGAACTTGACTCGACGGTAGAGTTTGATTAACCATATTGTCTCGGTTGCTGAGCAATATCATTCAGCTGTTGTTGTGGCTGTATGATAGATCCTAGAGGGTTCAACGAGGATGATTTCGAGAGTTGATCAGCGGTAGTGCTTGCTGAGGTAGCCTCGGGGAACCAAATTGTAAGTTGTTAGCCTGAGGTATTTGAGGTGTCGGCAAGCCAAACTGCCGAGAAAGATCAGCTCCAGGAAGATTTTTAAGAACTGAACCCGAAAAGGAATGCATGTAGTTTGGCTGAATGGAGTTGGCTAGCCCAGGGTTCTGTTGCATGCTCATCCACTACACCAGCTTAGTCCAGGAAAGTTGAGGGAAAATTAACGGATTCTGTTGCGATTTGTTGCTTAGATCTCTTATAATCGGTCAATTTGTGCAGATCGGAGACTAGTATTTATCGGAATTTTGAGTTTTCGGAAGAAAGCTAGACCTAGACCTAGATCGAGTTCGGAAATCAGAGATTGGATATGGCGGAAGAGCACAAATGCCAAGCGCCGGAGGGACACCGCCTATGCGCCAACAACTGCGGCTTTTTCGGAAGTCCGGCCACCATGAATCTCTGCTCCAAATGCTACAGAGATTTCTGCCTCAAGGAGCAACAACAGGCCTCGATCAAATCCACCGTCGAAAACTCTCTCTCCGCATCTTCTTCTTCCGCTTCCTCTTCCTCTCCTTCTCTCTCCTCTTCCTTGAAAATGGCGATCGAGCCTCTTTCTCTCTCTTCTCCTCCGCCGCCGCCGGGGGCGATTTTACCTCGGAGCGCACAGGACGGCATCGTGTCGTAGCCAATTCGGTGCTTGGTATGCCGGAAACAGGTCGGGTTAACAGGTTTCAAGTGCAGCCCCAGAGAAGACGACAACACCCACGACGGCCGCGTGGTAGGCCGCCGGGGTCGAAGAACAAGCCGAAGCCGCCGATAGTGATAGCAAAGGAGATCAGAAACCCTTTTTCTTTTTTTTGGTGGGGGTGGAAAGGTTCAAAATTCGACGCCCAACAGGACGAGAGCAAAGAATGGGCAATTTTTTTCTCTCTAAAAAAATTGAATAACATAAGGGTAATTTTGGGCACGTTCTTTTGTTCAAAAAACTCAAAAAAAAAAAACAACTCAAATTTTAATTTTATTTAAATTTACATTCTTTTAAATTTTAATTTTATTTAACTTCACTCAACTTTATTCAAGTTATAATTTTAATTTAAGTTATAACTTAAATTCAACTCAAAAATTACACTCAAATTACACTTCAAAAAAATAATCTCTTATCTTTCAGCTAAAACATGACACTTAATATCTTATGTATGTGTACTTCTTTTTCCACTATTTAGGAAACCCAAGGACTGAAATAGAATTTCCAATCCTAGCAGAAAAAGGTGGGAAACAGATACTCAATTTAAAGTGAACAAAATTTCGTACTCAATCTCATAAATACATATAAAATTACGTGAAACTGTTACTTTTTAGACAGTATCTAACAGAAATAATTATATTATACAATTTTAAATAATTTAAAATTCTCGTCTAAAAAAAATTTGGGAATCAAATTGTAATCTTTTAAAAAATTTAGAGATCATTCGTACAATGTATCTTAAATTTAACAGAAAAAAATTTAATTTATTAAAATATTAACGTATCAAAAAATATATAGTATAATAAAATGTCATGCCACCACCAGTCTCCTCCTCTTATTGCTGCCACTTATTTTTGTTCCACAAATGGAGTCGTTGGACAAGAAAATCTACCGATAAATAAGTAGAAAATCTAAAACGTACTATTTGAGTTTAAGCTAATTCTCATGTTTGTCTCTACATGTGCATTTATGATGACGAAAGTTATTTTGTTCGGCTGTAAAAATTTTGATTTTATTTGTTAGATTAGTTTTTTAATAATATACTATGAAATATGAGCAGTTTTGTATTGATTCGTTATGATATGTATAAAATTGATTGTTAAAAAAATAATCTAATAGTTAAAATTAATTATTTTTTCATATGGAGACAAATGTATGTCTTATAATAAAGATTTTCAAAAAAATATACTCTATATTTTAGAAAAATTTATCTTATAGGACTAAAAAAATAAATTATCAGTAGTTCTTTACTTTTTAAAAGTTAAATCTGTATCAAAAATTATCCGTTCTGCATATAGTTTTAATTTGATGTGATTTTGACCAAATCTAACGGTCAGAAACTAAAACTGCTAGGAATGTTTACCGAAAAAACTCCCTATTTGTAGACTACCCCAAAAGTATCTTAAAGGTTTTTAAAATTGCAGAAAAATACAGAACTCTTACAAGCGATAGGAACTACTATTTTAACCATTGGATTAACTTTTCAACACTCTAATTTATTAGTGTTAAAATTAAAAATTTACAATACACAATATAAAATTACTCCTGCTCACAAGTCAGACAGTTAAAAAATTATTTTAATAGCTAAAACAATACTTCCTACAATACAATAGAGTAAAATAACAGTCCTTACTATAAAAGTTCTAAAAATAATAACCCTTTCATTGGTCCAAAGTTTTTGAAATAGTGGAACCATTTTCATTAATTACTATGTAAATATTATTTTAACAATTAATTACTTAATATTTTAAAATATAAAACTAAATAAAATTAAGAAAAAAAAATGAATCATCCTGTTCAAATGACCGTAAAAGACGATGATGGGCGTGAGATCATGTATAGAGTGGGACCAATATGACCTTTCAAGTTTTAGATTTTTTTTTAAAGTTCTTTTATTGAAATTTTTACTTTTTCATAAATTGAATTTCTTAGTTATTAGTACTTAAGATAATGTTTAAATATTTGATTATTAAGGGCATTTATGTCTCTTCAGCAATTTGACTAGTTAATGGGATAGATTTTATTTTATTTCATTTCATTTCTTAAAAACTTAAGGGATATTTTGGGATAGTTTAAAAACTTGAGGAGTACCTAGAGACAAATGAGGAAATTAGCTAAAACTCAAAGGAAATATATAAGCTTTGTGGATTTATCTCAAAGAAAAAAACCTCTTACATGTGACAGCAATTAGACATATAAATAAAGATCGTCAGACCCGATTTGTGTAGGCCGAAGGAAAACACGGCTTGACCCGACAAAGAACATATGGTTGAACTCGACCACATAGCTAACATGTCATGTATGGGTTAGACCATATGTTGTATATGTATTTTATCACTTCTCAACTTTTTTTTTTTTTTTTTTTTTTTTTTTTTTTTTTCCCCCCCCCTTTTTTTTTTTTTTTTTTTTTTTTTTTGCCCCCTCTAAAAAAGGTATGCAGCGACATGTGAGTTAGAAAATAGGCTTGAACCGACCCATATCCTTATGCATGTCGGGTTGATCTGAATATTGGGCTGCCTCGTTTGGTTTGTCTCGTATTTACAGTTCTAACATTAATTTACATTGAGGCACACAAATATTAAGATCAATTTTATTTAATTCATGATCATTTTATTGGTGTTCTTAGTAAAGTGGTGATAGCGAGGAGTAAAGACAACCCAAAAAAATTTTGTTGCTCAGATACAAATTTTCAGATTATTTTTATTTATGAGAGTTTCTCTAGTAGCGTTTTTCTAATAATAAAATCTAATTCTGACGTTAGATCTTATTAAAATTACATTAAGTTAAAAAAATATGTAAAATATATAATTTTTAATATAAATCTAATAACTGAAAATATAAAATTTTCAGTAATTTATTTTTCGAGGCTTGTAAGAGAAACTCCATTTACTTTATTCACGGATCATGATCATTCTTTTTGTGGTACTAGTAGAGTGGTAGTAAGTGACAGCCAGCGAGATTAAAGGTGATCCAGAAAATTAACAAAATATAATAAAAAAGAAAACCAAGAATTGGTAGTTGCTACAGTTTATTAACAGTTTATGATAGTGTCTTATCATAAACAAAAAGAGTTAATTATTGTGCCAATGTATTATGAGCTTATAACGACATCCTAACCACAAACAACAAAACATCTAACATGACCTAATTTAGCTGTCTTTATTAGTCTTGTTCATCGCCATGTAGCCCCACACCTCTTACCCCAATTTCTTTCCTAACGAATTGTTCAATCTTCAAAATAACCAAATCAACTTTTTCAAATTGACCCCCCAATGTGTATCTTCCTCTACTCAATGACACTTAAGCTATGTGTTTTGTGGGATCCCTGAGTGGGTAAAAAAGTCAATCATTTTTGTGGGCCCCGGTGTTGGAAGATTTTGTACCGAATTTGGCAAAAGAGGTCACTAGCTACCTATACTCAACAAGTCTTTTTTTTTTTTTTTTTTTTTTTTTAAATTTAACAAACTCAAAAAAAGTTTTTTTTTTTTTTTTTTTTTTTTTTTTTTTTTTTTTTTTTTAAGTTAACAAATCAATTTTTATGTTAATTGTCACATGCGAATATTTTATTTTAGTTGTAAACTATTTTTGGGATCCAGTATCTAATATACATTATACAGATTCAAGGTTCATTTGTAATTATTTCTTCCTCTTGTAGTCTTTGTTTTTTTTTTTTTTTTTTTTTTTTTTTTTTTTTGCCTCCTGCACATACATAAAAGCAGAGTTTGAATGATTCAAAGCCCATAATTAAGAGGAGACTTTAGTGGTAGAGTATGAAAATACCCTATTGATAGGGATACAATTTTGAATCGTCGCATCACACTTGAATCATATCTGTTTTTGTTTTTGTTTTTTGTTTTTTGTTTTTTTTTTAAGAAAGTACGATGGTTGAAGGAAATCTGATCAAATTTCAAAGCTTCAAAATTGTGCTCCAGCAGATTAGTATTTTGTATCCTGTAGGCTAAGAGAGAATTATCTTAACGAATAGTAATATATATCCTTATAGTTGTTTATAGGTGAGTCATACTCATGTCCTTCTTCATAAATGAATTAAGTTGTTGACGATTGAAAAGAAAAAGTCTTCTTATTACTCATGTCAACAATGATATATGAAGGTGGAAAACAAAAGGCTTTTCAAAGCTCTCCTCAGAACCAAGCACCCAACTTTTCTGTAGACGAGGATTGTGTTTGATTGTGTAGTAGTAATGCTATTCTCAGTGGGTGAGTGCGGTGCTTTAAGGATTCAGAAACATGAAGCACTTGAGAGGTGTCTTCTGTCATCCACTACTAGCTACATCACCAGAAATCCTTTTCAAATTTGCAAATAATTATACGAGTCCTTCTAGGGTAACACTTTTTACAATTATTGTCATGTTTCTAACTATTATATTTTATCAAAATCACATTAAAATAAAAAATATATAAAATAAATAATTTTTAATACATATTTGTAGACTGAAAAACATAAATATACCGTAGTGTATGTTTACAATCCTACCATAAAAATCTCTTAATAGCTCATATATATACATAGTTTAAGTCCGACACCCGTACAATAATTTTTTTTTATTTTTATATATTTTCATGTAACATCTTTTCTACATGTGTAACATTTAAAATTCACATGTAACATCTTTTTTTATATATTGGACAACATTTTTTGAATGTTACACTCACCAATGAACATGAAAAAAATTACATTTATTGAATTGGTTCAGCTACTGACTTAAGATAATTCTTATATTTATATATAGATGCGTGTATATATATGTGACACTTAATAATTATATATGTTGGACTATATTTTTTAAATGTTACATCCAATTAAATTAGAGACAATTTATATATGTATATATATTTATATATATATATATATTTATATGATTTTGAGTACATGTCAAAAGCAAAGAAAGAAACGGTTTCCAACTCGGCGAAGTGTCAAGCTTAACTTGACCCTTTTTGACTCACCCAAACTAGGCAACCACTCTTTTCAAAAGGCCATGTGAACAAAAAAAAAAAAAAAAAGAATAGGGGTGATAATGGAAAGACCACTTGATTACTGATTAGCTACTAGCTAGTACTACAACCAAAGTGACATGATCAAGTGCTATAGGGAAAACCCAATTTAGAAGATGTTTGGTACCTAGATTCGTTCTTTAATTTAAATTATAGTTCGTAGTTTGTTACAGTATTTTTCTTATAAAAAATACATGTAAATTAAAAATAATTCTAATTATATGATTCTAATCCATGAACTAAACGTCTCCTTAATTTTTTTTCCTAAATAATAATTGTGACAATTTTAAAAAATATTTTAAAACTCAATTCACTTTCTTCTTGGATAGTCATTCTTGGGACACCAAACCAAGTTGAAGAAATGTGAAAATGATCCCACCATGTTTTCTTGACACTCATCATCACCTTCATCATATATATATATAACTTTAGAAAAAAAATATAAATTCTCATTTGGATTGAAAACATCTAGTACTACTGAGATGCATGCATGCATGCAATGCAATGCAATCAAAGCAAAGTACTAAAAATTGTTAACTGGTTAACAAGTGAAAAAAATTCACCCCTCTAAAAGCAAGCAGAAAACAGAAATATATCATGATCAATAATGTTTCCCCAAAATCAGTAAAATCGCCAAGTGGGAAAAAAAAAAAAGATTTTGTGATAACCAAAAGGATGCATCGTACGATATATATGTAAAGCAAGTAGAGAAAAAGCGACGAGAGAAGTGTTGCATATGTGATATATAATACCCTACAAGCCTGAAGCTTTCTTGACATGTACCCCTAGTTAATATTGTTGGAATTGGAGCCCCTAAGATAGAACGTTTTGTTTTGTTTGTAATGAATTTATAATCAGTGCGTTTGAAACTCATTTTAAAATGATTTTATTTTTTGTATGAAAATAAAAATGAAATGTTTTTAATCTTAGACAGAAATTATTTTTAAAAATATATTTGATAATTTTATTAAGTGATTATTTTCAATATAAAAAAAACTTATTAATGTCTCTCTCTTTAATTGAGAGAGGAAAAAACGAAAATAAAAATAAAAAACAACTAAAAGTCATTTTTTTTCATTTCTTCTTCATTTTACATTAAATCAAAAAATTATTTTTATTTTTATTTTTTATTTTTATTGCGCCAAAAAATGTTTTAAAAATATTTTTATTTTTTCTTAAAAAACATAAAAAATAAAAACAGAATCAATTTTAAACGCAACCAATATATTTCTTCTTTTACATTCTTGTCTTATATAAGATTTCAGAGTAAAACAATACAAATTTTCCATTGTTAATTGGATGTGGTTTTGCAGGTTGGCTTGCTGCTGCAGTCACAATCATAGCATTTTTGGGAAAATCCCCGCATAAGCAGAGCCAATAAAATCACTCCATTCTATAACGCATTGAAAAGTTATTTTTATTCTGATTGGGGTTGAAGTATTTCAAAGTTAACCCCAACAGTCAGCCTGAAAGCAGAGGATAAAATTCTGACACCGTTAGTAGCTTATACAAACATAATGATGGGTTTTCTTTGGCTAACATGAGTTAACATGAGTCTTCTCATGTTTTATGAATCGGTGGTATATTTACCTAATCAAACAGTAACGGAGAAAGAGAGAGAGAAGGATCATATATTCATATGTAGTAGATTGTACATCCATTAGAATTTAGATTTGGAGGGAGAGAAACCAATCTACTTTTTGCTAAAAGTCTCTTAAAAAGATGATACAATCCAAGGGAAGTGAGATTACCATACCGTCATTTAGCCCCCAAATGGCTTTCGACAATGGATTAAGAGAATATGCCAAGTCAAAGTAGCTAGTAACTATACAAACAATCACAACAAAAGCAACTACGATACTCTCGGTTATTTTGTGAAATGGTAAGACTATCTGTTCTTCTCGATAATAGCTTATTTTATACGAGACGAGGAATAATGATTGTTGAATTATCTCAGCAAGTTTGTTGCCCCCTAAAGACAATTCAAATTCACGATTCTTTGCTATCTCAGGCCAAGGGAGATGATTAAAGACTTAAATCTTGTTCATTTCACCGATTCAAGTTTTCTGTTTTTAATTTTTACAATTAAATATCACATTTAATTTTTTTTGTTACAGTTACTTTGCTATCTCAGGCCAAGAGAGATGGTTAAAGATAAGCCACGTTCATTTTACCGATTCGAGTTTTCAATTACAATTTTACTACAATTAAAAGCTCTTACAAAAAGTCATATCTAATTTTTTATTACAGTTAAAAGCTCTCACATAAAATTACATCTTAACTCGAATTAAAAATTCAAATCAACGAACTGAATGAGATTTATTTTATTAAAAACTCTTAAAAAATATCACATCTCAATTTAAATTAAAAATTTAAATACGCGAAGTGAACCAACGAGACTTTAGTTTGGTGTCACTTGTTCATGATGCAGTGGAGAGAGAATAGATCTACAATCTTCTGCAGGCCATTATTATTAGCTTACCATAAGAAAAAGCAAAAAATTCCGCATGTACCTTTGTTGAAAAGATTGTGGCACTCATGAAATGACAAGATACTCCGATGCAGAGACCATATTTATATGCAGATTCACTTGTCTTAAAGTCTAAAATGAACAAAATATTGTCCTTACTGGTACACGTAAAAAGTTAATAGTACCTATTTTCCTCGATTTTATTTTCCATAATATTCCAGAGATATATATAACTGTGCAGGATAGATTCCAAGACATGAGAATAATTACTGCACAGGTATCAAATCCAAATTATGGTCCAAGTTTGATGCGACTATTCCCATGTGAAATCCATCATAGCTTTTAACGTTGCAGAAATTTACTATTGCATAGTAATCAAGCAATGCCTCGGCAAAATAACAGCAAAAAGAAAAAAAATCAGAAGCCCACATGAAACATCATCATATAAATGCAAATTCTTGTGTACCAGGTTTGAGTTCTGACGTTTTCAGAGTGAAGCCAAAACCAGTATTGACATTTCAAGCAATCCATTTCTTTACATTTCAAACATTACAAAACCAAGTCAGAATGATGGATTAAGATGCGACAAAAGTATTATGATACGCTTAGAACATAGGAATTAAAAAGAAAAAAGGAAAAAAAGCTATATAAAATATTATCTATCCTCAAAAGGAGAAAGGAAAGAACAATAAAAATAACAGGCTTGCGGAGGAAGAACTCCTTCAAACAGAATCTATCAACAGTTAAATGTCAAGAACTTAGCATGTTGCACAACTATCCTCGTTTGCCAAAAATCCTATACATGATTTGGCTAACCTTGGAAATTATCTATTATCACTTGATAAGCTTGGACACGACCAGGATGTATCTCAGTATGGCGGTGGAGGATAGAGTCCAGGAAAAGGACCTAATTCAACAGAGCAAAGTAAAGACATGGTATAAGTAACTGGCTAGAGATAACATAATTGCAACAATGAATATGTGATGGAAAGCAAATTACCTGGAGGATAATAAGGAGAGGCTTGCGGAGGAGGCGGATACGGAGATGCAGGATAAGCTGACGTAGGCGGATATGGTGGGGGAGGATAGGCAGCTGGCTGGGGAGGAGGGTATGAAGATGGTGGATACCCTCCTGAATTAGATGGGTACGAAGGATACGGAGATGGAGCTGGGTAGCCTGTGTGTTGCGGGTAAGGAGCTGTAGAGACTGGTGGAGGCGTAGAGTACAAGGAGGTTTGTGGTGCAGGTGGTGTTACATACGGTGGTGTTACATACGGTGGCGCTGATGGAGCATGGCTTTTTGCGGATTTCTGTAGCAAGAACATAGTAATTCAGATTAAAATTTATAGGGGCCAACTTTAGTAAATAATAACTATATAGCACTCGTAAAGATATAGCTTACATTGGCATTGGGATAATGCAATATGAGTCGTACTTCTCCAGCATATCTACAAGGAAAGAAGTCTAAATCAAAACCAGTCTAAAAACATCTTACCCAACATAAGGCCTAAAGGAAAGTATATAATCCCAATTCCCAGCATTCTCAAAGAATTGAAAAACCTAAAGCAACATCCAGTCCTTCGACAGAAACGATCCACATATAAAGGTCCCCTCTATAGGGAACAAAGGGATTTTGATTTTGATTGGTGAATGCCAAAGATACACATTAAGATGTTGTTTGGTAGGAAAAAGAGGAGGGAATGAATTTTGTGTTGCGTTTCAAGTCCTTCAAAGCACCTCATATTAATCTCTCCCAATATGGAGGGATTAGAAGAATAAATCCATACCAAAGACAATAAAAGAAAGGTCATCCCCCTTCTCTCTATTTGCGTCACTTAGGTTCTAAATATATTTAACTTTCTTTCCTCTTTATTTTCTTTCCCTCCAACCAAACACATCCCAAGAGCTTGTTTAACATGAGGAGAAGTCGAAAGAGGGATAAGGGTGAGCGGATTGGTGAAAGGATTTTGGGACCCATGGTTGTTTGGTAGGAGATAAAAGAGAAGGGAATGGATTGGATGATGTATTTAAAATCCTTCAAAGAGCCCAATTTTAATCTTTCTCGATATGAAGGAAATAGATAAGGGAACCCATACCAAACACAATAAGAAAAAGGTCCTCCCCTTCCTCTCTCTTTTCCTTACCTAGAGTAAATACCTTTATTTTCTTCCTATTTTCTTTCCCTATTACCAACCACAGAACACGACCTTCCATTTAAAATTCAACCAAGGAAAGCAAAAATAACTAAACTTGGCTAAAGAACAATGGAAAATCACCTCCTTAACATTTTCGGCAATAATACGTGATTAGAAGCTCATTGGTACATGGCCATAATAGAAGAGGGGCCTTCATTGTGCCATGTGTGTGGGTCATCATGGTTTTTCACTCTGACCCTTTAAGGTGTGCACTTTATCTTTCTTTTCTTTTTCTTAAATTGAGGAGAGATGGTGAATGAAGCTTACCAATGCAATCATCTCTAAATAAACTTGGATTGCTTTAAATCTCACTATTACAAAGTTAAAAGAAATCCACTCTTGCAAAGTCAATTGCAATAGTACAACACTAAGATGTATATAAACTTTTGTGAAAGTAAGGGCTTGTTCCGTTGCATTTTTGAGTTATGGTAATTTGAGTGTAGATCTTGAGTTGAATTTGAGTTATAACTTGGGTTGAAGTTGTAACTTGAGTTTGTATTTAGTTGTGTACATTTGAGTTATAGTTTGAGATGAGAATCTTTTTTAGTTTGTGTTTAGGTAGGTCAAAACTTGAGTTTGTATTTAAATAGTATTTTAATAAAAACTCAATGATGATGGAAAATATTAATATGATATATGGGTGGAGTTTTATTCGTCTCTTCGTTGTGAACGCATAAAAAAAATAATCATCTCAATCGGAATTAAAACGAAAAAGTTATAGCGTTTTTAAACATAGAAAAAATAATGTTCATTAACTTGAGTTTGAGTTTAAGAACTTGAGTTGAAGGGAAAACTTGAACTTAGATTTTAACCCCGAACTCAAGTTAAAATTCAAGTTAAAACTCAAGTTCAAAGTCAAATTCTACAAAAGAACATGAACTTAAATAAAATTGTAAATTGAGTTCAAACTTTTTTTGAGTTTAGGTGCAAACAAACAAGCTCTAAAAGTAAGCAGGATTCCATGTGGCATGGAGAAGAACTTATATTATACACGTGGTAAAAGTAATCTACTTGTCAATATCCTCTTGAAACAGTAACTTATATCCAAGTGAGAGAACTAGAAACATTACTTTTCAGCCAAAAAAGGGAACTAGAAACATAAAATCGGGAAGTAAACAAGAGCAGGGATTAAACTTTTAGCACCAAAAAAAGAACTGGGTATTTTTTTGATCTTCTTATCCAGGACTTCCTATCCTTCTTGCTTTGTACTTAATCATTCTTTCTGTCTTAATGAAGTTTTGTAGCTTTTCTCCGTCCCCCCCCCCCCCCCCCCCCCAAAAAAAAAAAGCATTGCACACCCAAAAAGTTCAGGACACACTAATTACCTCAAGAATATTTTCTCTACGGTATTTGAACAGTTTGAATTAACTGTAATTACCTGCCAGTTTTAGTCTGAAGCGTCCAAGGACTATCATCATAACCCTGTGAAAGAACCTTATAAAGTTGAACCCTGAAACATAAATACAACACAAATTAAATACAGCAAAACTTGATAATTGAAAAAAAAAATTCCCAAAAGGGTGTCTGAAAAAATTGCAATAAAAGAATCATCCCCAAAAAAAAAAAAAAAAAAGCCAAAAGGTTGAAATTTTATTACTTTCCACTCCCAATGAAGTCATCGTTAGTGATTGTATTCCTGTTCCAAACTACAACATTCAACTCCCTAAGGCCCTCAATCAGTGTGAACACGAACTTCTCTTGGAATGTGGGGTTTCTACCACCATCTGCATACAATACCAATCAAATTTCTCAACTTGGGTATAAATACTTTTCAAGTATATCCAAAATTTCTCAATAAAAGAAGTAAAATAAACACAATTTCAGATCTGACCAAATAGATATCTATTGTAGAGCAAAAAAAAAAAAAAAAAGATTAAGGCCAAGAAATGGAGAGAAACCAGTGCATGTTCTTGTACGAAATTTGGTGCTGGCGTATTCAAGACAAACGTACGGATCCTGGCGTGAGAACCATTCTGTGTCCTTCAACTTGTTACACGCGACAACTAAAAACGAAAAAAAAAGAAATTAAAGGAAATAGAGAAGCAGAGAGAGGATAGAAGTTTGAAAAGGAAGAAGAAAGGTTTTGCGAGGAATTTGATGAAATTAAAGAAAGAGGAGAAGAGGATGAATAGTATACCAGTGACCTCAAGAAGGAATCCTTGGATACCAGAAACCGACATTGGAGAAGAAAATCACAATTGTACAAGTCTATGCTAAGGATTGACTTTTTTTTTTTTTGTTTCGCGTTAAAAGGCTTTGTGCTTTTTTGTGTGCCCAAAAAAAAAAGACTAGAATATATATATATATATATGCGCTGTTAACCGTGTTACGCGTATATATTTTCGTTCATCGAATTTAAAATTTAAGTTTTATTACAGTTAAAAATTTTTAGAAATAGTAATATCTAATTTTTTTATTATAATAAAAAATTCTCATATAAAATCACATCTTAACTCAAATTATAAATTCGAATCAATAAAGTGAACGGTCCTTCATTTTCCTTAATGACGAAATTGACTCTTTTTTTCATTTTATTAAAATTTAACTATTTTATATATTTATTTAATTTAATATAATTTTAAATAAATTTAAAAATTAAAAAATGAGATTATTAATAAAGTAAAAAACCAAAAATACTCTTTTTTTTCTTTAAAAAAAAGATTTTATTTTTAGGTCATTTTCTGGTGCACCCCTTTTCTAGACTACCGGTGGTTCAAGTTAAACACAAGTTTGACTTTATTTTTATTGAGTGTTTTTTAATTTAATTTAAATTAAGATGTGATTTTATTTAAAATTTTTTATTATAATAAAAAAATAAAGTAACTATTTTTAAAAAAAATTTATCGTAAAAAACAGGCATCTCTCGGTTTTAGACTGCTAGGGATGGAACCGCAACCCAAAAATCAGCTTTTCCTTGCCTAGAGATTGATGGAGTTCCATCGGCGTCCATCACGATGTCATCGCCGGCAAGACAACAAAGATATAATATATATATATATATATATATTGTGAATCGGCAACTCCAAAATCTAATGGGCAAGACAATGAGCAATCTCTATTAGCAAATCTGGAAATCCAATGAGCAATCCTAATGGTCTTGCCTTTTTTTTTTGGCTGGGATAAAAAAAATTATGGGTCTTAGTTAATTTCTCAAAGTGATTCTTTATCAATCATTTATTGAATTTAATTTTTCTAATTACTTTTCAAGCCTCAATAATGGGTGAGCGGAGAAGAAACGCAAGTTTTCTTCGGCAATGGAGAATAGGGAAGAATTCAAGCAAAAAAGTGGAGATCAGGGAAGGGAAGAAAGGAGATGCGAGAATAAACGGTGTGAAAGTAAATAAAAAAAAAAAAGAGAGAGAAAAGTAAAAGTGGGGCCTACAAAAAGCTGGTACGTGCGTCAACATCTATCCGAATTCCTCGCATACACTGAAAATGATATTACGTGTGCATCATTCAAATCCAACCAAAGCGTTTTAATCGAACGGTTGCTATTTTCGTGTCCTATCGGTAGTCTTTAAAAGGGGTGCACTAGAAGAGGTCGTGTGTGTTTAGAATCGTTTTTAAAAATAATTTTACGTATTCTGAAAAATAAAAAATAAAAAATAAAAACAAAATAATGTTTATTTAATAAATATTTTAAAAATAAAAACGAAAATAATGAGAATAATTTTTATAAATAAATTAAAAAACGGTTGAAAGTTATTTTTACTTTTTTATTTTTATTTTTTAATGCTAATCAATAATATTATAATATATTAATTAATAAACACGATTTTATTTTTTTATTATACTCAAAATAATTTTTTAAATAATTAATCAAACGTAATTTCGTAACCGGTCTCAAAATAATTATCGACACAATTTTATTTTTACTTTTTATGAAAAATAAAATCATTTTAAAATTAATTTTAAACGCACATTTTATTTTTTTAAGGGACCTTTAAGGGAGTTTTTAACGTTTTAACATAAGAGCTTTTCATTATATATATACGTGCTTTCATAAAACTATTAGTCACAGTTCTATATTATTTGTGTTAAATAACGCATATGATATAAGCCTGAATACTATGAGGTTCCACTTTAAAAAAAAAAATGATTAATGAGTGTTGTTGAATTATACACTCCCACTAGAATTTTGAGGGGTTTATTTCATTTTTTGAATTATATAAAATCATTCAAAACACCTCATAATATAATTTAATAAAGTCCTTTAAAATGAATAGCTTGAGGATATTCATAAAACTATAATAAGTGTCACCTTATATAATTTATGAGGTAAAATGAATTATATAAAATCATTCAAAACACCTCATAATATAATTTGATAAAGTCCCTTAAAATGAATAGCTTGGGGATATTCATAAAACTATGATAAGTGTCATTTTATATAATTTGAGGTAAAATGAATTATTTTCTTAAGTTTGAGGAGATGTTGCGTTAGGATATACAGTTTAGAGGGCGTTTATAAAATTAATAAAAAATAATTTTCCATTAAAAAAAAAAGAGAAAAGCACTGTTGAATTTGTTGTATGCGATTCCCTCAGTTTCCACTTTCCTGCAATCTTTGTGCTAGTTTGAATTAGGGAGACCATTATTACTGGTTTTTTTTTTTTTTTTTTTTTTTAAAGAAAAAGGGAAATTACTCTGCCCTTTCGATTTAATTCAACTTAGGAATCACGAGTTTACATTTATGCGACCGCATATGACATTACGTTGACCCAGTCTAATTGGAAAAGGACCAAATCGAGTACTTACATTGTATTCTTTCCGTGTTAGAAGTGTCTTATGTTTTTTATAATATAAAAATAATAATTGGACGTTTTTAAAAATGTCTTTTTAATATTTTAAAATTAATTTTTAAGACGTAAAATGACTTTAGTATCTTTTTACTTAATTATCAAAAACTAATAAATTTAAAAAAAAATCGTGAATTTTTTATTTTGTTGTTTTCTTTTAAATATTTTAATGTTTTAAAAAATTTTATTTTTTTAAATATTAATTTTTATTTAATTTACAAGAAGGGTAGTTCAGACTTTACATGTTTTAAAAATCAGCTTTAGAGTATCAAACAAAAGTTTATAAAATCATCGAGGTATTGCTTTAATATTATAAAAAATATAAGACACTAAGAGCATGTTTCGCTGTAATATAAATTAACAAAGTGATTTTATCCGTTTTTTTAAGGGTACTTTCGTTTCAACAACCACAAAATAAATAAATAAAAGTATATTAATTAAATGAATCAGTAGTTAATTGTTATCTCCAAATCTCCATAAAAATGCCAATATATCTTCACGTAATCCTTTAAATGACTGAACCAGTGAACCTCCAAATAGTTTGACATTGACTTGGAAGAAATACGAGGCTTATGGAAGATGAGTGCCACGAACTGTCCGCTCAGGTTTTATTTGGAAAAACAACATTATTCCCATTGGATAAATTTCATTGAAAATATGAAGACTAACAACATTGTTTAATTGGTTTAACATTAAAAATTCCAAAACGCGAGCAAGCAGTTCTAAATTGGCAACGTTGTAAATTTTCCATGTTTTTGCCGAAATTGAATATTTTCTTAAAACCATGAAGCTAAAATCATTCTGCACTTATTTTGTACTCGATTTGTTATTGTTAGACCCTTAAGAGAATAAATTAAAGTATCCTTCGTTTTACGAATTTAAATTTTCAATTTGAATTGAGATGTGATATTTTTTAAAAACTTTTAATTATAGTAGAAAAAATTAAAAATGACATTTTCTGAGAGTTTTTAACTGTAAAAATCTAAAATAAAAAACTCAAATCGATAAAATAAACAAAGACCTAAATATTTTTGGCCACGAAAGTAATGATCGGAAGTGGTCGTAATAGCGACAAAGCCAACGCAGACGCGTTGGAAAGGTAAAAGGCGTATTGAACAGAAAACAACGCAGTTCATATGCATGATTGACAGTAATTACACCAGAAAAACACTAGACATAAAATACAGGGTTTCTTCTTTACTTCTTTTTTCTTGGAATCAATAAAACAAATTCCACGAAATCCAGTCATAAATTCAGCTAGACTTATTTTTGCACCTTCTAGTGATCTTCGCTTTAACCGGATCCAATAACAAGAACCTTCAGAGTTACAAAGGAATGGAATGAACACAATTCAATTTTATGTACAGACGAATTTCCCGATCCCAGCAAATCTAGTCGCTTTCATAGTCTTCGTCATCCCCAAATGAAAAAACAGAGGCATCGGCGGCCATTGCCTTGAACTCACTTTCAGAAATGGGAACCTCAGCACTGGGGACATTTGCAGCGACATTACTTTTTGGCTCACCAATAGTGCTCGCCTGGGCAGACCCTGTGTTTCCAATAGAAACCTGTTCAGTCGCTTTTGTCAAACCTGCAATCTCATCGGGCTTGGACTTGGTTTCAGAACTTGAGGTGGTATGGATGACTCTTTCGCCCACTGCAGAAGCTGCAGCTTCTGCTCGCCGGCTCTTTGAAGAACCATCCTCTGCCTCACTGTCTGAAAACACATCGTCCTTTTCTTGAGTCCCGGAGTCTTTGGTTGGCTTTAGAGCAGCGGGAGCTCCTTCAACTGTTGAAAGAGCAGATTGCGAGCCTTCATCTGATATCTTGGTAGTCGATTCGGCATTAGGCGTCTTAGGTACAGTGCCATTATAATCTACAAGCACAACCTCAACCTGAAATCCTGGGGAAGGTAGTTTCCTCTGGAGAGATTCAATGCCGGGGAAAATGAAGTGTTAAGTGATAAACACAAGAAATAAGAAAGCAAAGACAACAATAAAGTTTAAAACTGAAACAGACACCTCAAACATTTGATTCATGTCATAGAGATTTTTTTTTTTTTTTTTTGGTAATTGTTTCTATTTGACTTGTAAGTTTAATCTACTCAAAATTGAAATAGTAGTTGACCCAAGCTCCAAAAGCATCTTTTTGATGGGGAGACAAAAACGTTTAAAATATATTTCATATGTTCTCCACGTAGGCAGACCAATAATCTTGATATTGCATCTCACGGTAAGAATTCATTCATTACCTTGTCAAAGCCATCAAGATCAGCAGTACTTAAAAGTTTTCTATTTTCTGTCATTGTTGTGTTTAACCAGCTGCAAATGCACAAAAAAGTAAGAAATTATGAAATTTTCAGTTACCAAACAAGGAAGCATAACAAAAGATTCATTCGTCGGGGAATGGCCGGATTACGTACCAGTAGAAATCTCCTTGACGGTCATGAAAGTGGATTTTGAAGTCCCCATTTAACTCCGCTAGACCCGGTTCCCCAGGCAGAGCAAAAACCATTACCCCCTTCTTTGGAGCACTAAACCAATAATCTTCCGGCTGTGAATGTAAAACACGTGCCCAATAACAAAAGGATACTTCAGAACCACAAAGTAGTCAACGGAATATTGGCGAAGAGACCTTTCCAAAATCAATAAATAATTTCTTAGAGCATCAATGAGACCTACCGAAAGATCTTTGGTTCGTGGATGCTTTTTTGTAGAGAAGAGAACACCTACACATTTTGCAAACCCATAGCATAAATAAACTGTAAGCACAATGGCATGAAAATAAATTGTCTGGCGGTCAAAATTTGAACAACTAACGTTATGCTAGGACCTCTAAAAGGCTGTTGGAAAAAAAAAAATTTACGTAACTTCCAAATTATGTGAAGATATACAAGTGCAAAAATCTGTTTCATCAGCTTCATATACATCACAGGTCCCTGTATCAGCTCACCGTTTGGGATTTATGGCAAAATATTTAATGCAAAATGGAGATCAGACTTTAACATGACAGCAACAAATAAAATGGGGGACAGACACAGCAGTGTGCAAGTGATGCCACAACGTACCATTATGATCAGAAACTGTAATAGAGGGCCTGATCCAATAAGGACATCTATGAAGCCGAAAGCCCCTAAGCATGCACCTAATAATAATATAACAATATTTAATGTCAGTATCCAACTGAAAGAACCCCGAAACATAGTTTATGATGAAACCATAAAGTCAAAAGTATACCTGCGTGGAGGTGGATTTTCTCCATTGAAGTACGTTAAAACACGTTCGAAGTACTTGACATACCTCTAGACGGCCAAAAGACAGAAATTTGTGATCAGATAAGTGTTAGGAAAGAAACTTGAAAAATATACAAGGACATGCAATTCCTCAGAATTATCGTATAGCAGAGTATACTAACAATCTGACTCGGAAGAATAAGCCCTTTTCCATCAAAACATCTTTTCTGGTTGTAGTAGTCCATAGATTCCTCAGCAGTTGGAAAGAACTGCAAACATGAAACATCTAATGAAAACTATAGCAACAAAGCTGATATGAAAATAAGATTTAGCACAGGATCCACGACCACCTTTGTGGCGCCACAACCAAAATCTTTACCTTCAAATAGAGAAGAAGACTAGAAATCATCAACCCTGTCCTTGCCATTCCCGCCTTACAATGCACCACCACAACATTCTCAATATCTTCTTTCAACCATGAATAGGCACTTTGACAAAATGATATTATCAGCCGAGTTGGGGGACAATTATGATCATCGAATGGGAAACTAGCTACCTGAAAGAAAATTCATTATGCAAAAAGGTGTTAACTTTCATAGCCAAACGTTACCCGTAACGTCGACATACATGAGTAAAAATGTTAAAAAATTTCCTTTCAAAGAAACAATTAATTGGCATCAATTTCTGCAACTTTAAAACAGCCACTTTACAATATGGAATTCCTTCAGCTTTAAAAATAATTAAGTTCCATGAATTTTCTAATTTCATATGGAAATTAGCGACTCTCTGCTGATTAATTGTTGGTGACAGAAGAGAAATTAACCGCTAAGTCTGAGAGTGCATGTCTAATTTGTCCTAACTTTACCACTCCTTGACCATCTCTACAGAAAATAATTCAATAAAGATCGACAAGAAAATAAACAACAAACGTCTAATTTCAATACTTTAATGTCAAATTTCAAGAGAGAGAGAGAGAGAGAGAGAGAGAGAGAAGGAAATCAATAATCTGAAGCAGCAATATGATAAAATTTGATTGCTTATTTACAGGATAGATCCGTTCTCTTTTCAAGTTCAGCTATAAGCCCATATTGCAGTTTAGATACCTGATTTTACAAGTATAAAGTAACAAAACTTATCATCAGCCACCTGTGATTTGATGACAAATCATAACCCACCTTTCCTTCAAACAATGATGCATCATATAGCCTCTCAGAACAAAGATTGTATACTTTGTACTTGTCCTGCATGTAAGAAAAGAAAATTATCAACATACCAATACCTGAAACAAAACTTCATGATAGTTTTGGCACCAAAGAACTACATAAATTACATTATAAAAAATGAATCATAAAATTCCTAACCAAATGTTAGCCACAGATGTAAATACATGTATCAGCTATAAAAAAAAAAATGCTTCTTTACCTTGTGATGAGTTTCAAAAAACTTAATGACTTCTTCCATGTGGTTTCTGTAGAAACCCTGCATAGCACATATCAGAAATTTTTATCAATGAAAACAATGGGTAAAAAATTCAAATGGAGAAGGCAAGTTTCTTGCTAACCTCAACATAGCCAAAAAATCCAGAGCTCATATCACCAGCAGGGAAGCCCATAGCAATAATGTTTTCGGTGATATATGTCATATCCAAATCAAATCCTCCTTCCTGAACAGTCAAAGGTCATACATATAAAACGAAGCATATCTACCAGTATGAAATGCAGCAAACAATATGATAAGACTAAGCCTTTGCTTAGGCAGGTTTTTGTTAGGAAGGGCAGGAGAGAATAAATGGGTGAGGGGATATAGTAGTTGTTAGTTTGTTAGCAGTTAGAAAGTATATAGTGTGAATAAGTGATGGGTCGGTGGAAGGGAAAAAGGGGAGTGAATAAATAGAGACAGTGAGCAAGTGCCAGGGTAGGAAAGAACTGGAGTCTTGTTGAGGAAGTCTTGGCCTGGGCTAAGCAGGGAGGTTTAGCAATACCTCGAAGGACTGCTTTGTAATTCGTTCTTGTGATTCAATAAAGATCATACCTTCTTTCTTCTTGATTCATTTCTGTCTGTAAAAATTACTCAGTTCTTATCACAATACACCAAGGGATAAATGAAAATGTCTGTACACCACAAGCTAAAGTCGGATACTAAGAAAGCCATAGTTATGATTTTAATTCAATAAAGGGGGAAAACAATATAGATTTTAGGGTAAGAAATAAACATTTAGAAATTAAAGACGTCTTCTAGTGAATTACAGGTTACATATCATTTGATATCTGCTTTAAGAATTATGTGATAATAACCAAACACTTATTTGGAAGAACTGAAGAAGCACAAAACTAGCTGGAGAATGGAAAGATGGGACCAATTTCTACAAGACACAAACCACAAACGTAGTTCTTGGCCTCTGACTAGATTAAAGTGAATATAAATACAACAAGAAAAAGAAAAAGAAAAAAAAGAAGACAAGAAAACTAGCAACTCACCTGGTACCTTCTTTTATTTTGAGAGACAACATGGCGAGCCTTAACCTGCACAGCCTTCACTGCACTTTTCGAAGAGTCAACTAACCCTTTTGTAATTGTCCCAATAAAACCAGGTTGCGTCTCTGTTGAGATTCCATCTGAACTCTCAGCTGGAGAAGGAGCTTTTGGAGATAAGCGGAATCCTAACCCACTTGTAAAGCGTACAAAGGTAGATTTCCCAGAATTTTCAGTTGGTGAAACATCTTGGGTTCCCACCAATGGCTGAGGAATTTTCAAACTCTTGGCCCATGATGTTAACTTAGATGGGGCATTGCGCGGAGAACTCTCCGATACAGAATCTGTAGGAGCAGATGGTTGTACCTCAGGAGCTGTAACTTGAGGTGAAGTTGTGGAATCAGCAGATTCCTTATCCATTACACAGTCCCGGAGATTTAGATGGAGATTGGTGAAAGAAGTTCACACTGCCAGCATGAAAAGTTATCCAATTGCAATACTTGCAACTATAGCTGCAAAGAGAGCATATAGAACAATGGTTTGAAAATAACCCGCAAACACAAGAAAATTATTAATACTCCAATCCTTATTACATCAAGTTAATGAGTTATTATTTTTTCCTCAACAAAAGAAAACATTAAAGCCAAGTTGGCGATAGGATTCCTAATTTTTCTCTTGTTTTATTTATTACTGAGTTCGCTCTAGCCGCCAAAAATTGCAAGACGGTCAAACAAGCAAAGCAATTTGTTCTGATAATTAACTGAACTATCACTCCATATGCTCGTATGAAAAGGGAGAACACCAGGCAGAACATAACCCTGCTGCTCCAGAGGATATATAAAGAAATCTTGAGTCTGCTACTCTGCTGAAATGAAAATAATGAACAGCAAAACCAAACCCTTCGACGAAGAACATTTACGTTTCCTCCTATTATCTTTTTATATTCACGAATTCCCCAAACACACTTTGTGAGCCCAAGTTTGAAACCGGGGCTTTTCGCGATGTTTCCTCTTATTATTACTTTCCAAAAGTAAGAAACATATCCAGTCCACGGACAAGAATACAGTATCTAGCAAAAATTTCATTAACAAAGCCAGAGATATTTTGGGCACTCGCACCAGTAATTTAGTGCAAAACATTTAGGCCTCGTTCAGTTTGCCGATTCGAGCTTATATGTGACTTTATGTGAGAGTTTTTTACTGTATCAGATAAAGTTAAGACGTGTCTTTTTATTAGAGCTTTTAACTCTAGTAAAAGTGTAATTGAAAACTTGAATTGGTGAAATGAATAAGGCGTGAGGTTTCGGAATTGAGATAATCAACATAAACGCACAATTTCTCTTCCTTACCGTTTCTGCTCAACTAATTGAAGCATTTCCATAATGTTAACCTCGTAATGCAATTTTCTCTCAGCCAGGTAATGAAATTAACTTTTGAAAATATCCATTTTTAACCAAATAGAACCACAATTCCTAATTAAAATCAACTCGATTAATCAAATATATAGTCGTGCCTAAATGCATAAGCAAGTATATCCGAAGATTACAATAGCAAAAAAAAAAAAAAAACCATGATCCAGCAATACCAATCTGGTACTCTCTCGTTACGAATAAGAATAGAACCTAAAAGTACCCGTGAGAATTTAGATCTATGAGGGAATACAATATTACCTTGATCAAAATCACAGTCGTCGAAAAGCCAGAGAAGTCAGACGGAGAGAGGATTTCACGGGCTCTCTAGGGTTTCAGAAGGGGAGAGAGAGAGAGAGAGAATTGGAGCTTTGTTATCCGGCAAGAGTTCCAGGTGTTGGTCCTACCTGATCTCACGTGATTATTCGGTCAATGCATCGAAGGGCTCTAAAGTTGTTTTGATTTGTGAGATCGTTGATGAAAGCGTCCTTAGCGCGCACTGGATATTAACACTCACCGCTGATGAGAATTGATATTATGTGGACCCTACATATTTTCTTTTTTTTTTTCTTTTTTTAAAATAAAGTTTGGAACTATATAGTTTTTTAAAGACTCGTTCATTTCATCGATTTGAGTTTTTAATTTTAGGTTTTTACAGTAAAAGTTATCAGAAAATGTCACATTTAATTTTTTTTTATTACAGTAAAAAATTTTTAAAAAATGTCATATCTCAACTCGAATTCGTAAAATGAACTAGGCTTAAAATTTTTTAAGTAGGATTAAAAAAATAAAGTATTATTATTTTTTTATATTTAAACGTATCATAAATTATTTATTTTTTATACATTTTTAAGTTAATGTACGATTAAAAATTAATTTTATTAGTAAGTCGACCTACTAAGAACGTCCCTAAAAATTATACATTTTCTTTTCTTTTCATTTTGTGCTAGAATTATGCTTATTTGAATGTTTATATTCCAACTATTGTAAGTGAAAAAAAAAAAAAAACTTGAAGTATATAAATAATTTATTTTTAAGATTATTTTTATAATATCCTGTATTTTAAAATGGTTTAAAACATCTAATAATTTTTAAAAAATAATTCAAAATACTTTTTCTGTACAATTCCGTCTATATTAATAGATTTCATGATGTGCACTATATTATCATATTAAAACTTAATTAATCTGAAAACAATATGAATTAATCTCTAAAAAAGAATTAACTACTAAAATTATTTTCTAAAACTAATTTTGAATATTAAAAAAGTCATTTAAAAACAAAATAAAAAACTTCTTTCCGAGATCTAAGATCTGAGAAAACCAGCCCCTTGAGCACCAACCTCCGGTGACTAGCCCTTCTCCGCCCCTTTCATCTTCCGGCACCACAAGTTCGAAATTGTCGCCGAGTTTCTCCACCAACAACCTTGCCATCCACCTCCAATATCCGCTCTCAATCGAGTCCCATAACTCCACCCACCCCACAACCTTCAAGAACTGTTCCCACCCACCTCGCAATTCAGCCAGCCCCGACCAAATCCGATGACGACCTCTAGAAGGTGAGGTTTCGTAATAAGTTCAGTGAGAGAGAAGAGGAAGAGAGAGAGATGTTTTCCTTTTCATTTTTTTGATCTTAAGGTTTTTTTTTTTTTGAAAGGAAACTCGTGAGATTTCAGTGAAGGGGACAGACAATATTAGTAATCCAATTTGGTATCTCATCAATCCAACAATAGGATGAGCCTGACAGGAGACCAAACTTTGCAATCTCATGGGCCACAAAATTGGCCAATCTAGGCACATGAGATATTCATATAAGGAGAGAGAGAGAGAGCAAATATCTGCAATAATAGGAGCACTAAAACCCAGCACCTCCTTCTTCGTGACACTTTTAATCACTAATGCAACACCGGATTCGACAGTATCAATCTTTCATCCATGCTCTAAGTGAAACGAAGATTTTCTTTTCTATTTGAAATAAGTTTTTGTCTTGTTACTTCTTAATATTTGGAGACGTTTGGTTCGTGTATTATAATCATAAGATTAGAATTATTTTTAATTTACGTGTATTTTTTGTGAGAGAAAACACTGTAACGAACCATGAACCATGATTCAAATTACGAATCTCCTAACCAAACAACCTCTTAATTACTTTAATATGTTACGTCATATCTTAATATTTTTAAGTAATATTTAATATGTGACATGTCAATAAATTTGTTAGTATTATAGACGGAATGGGCCGAAATGATCATATTGAGCTGTTTTTTTATAAATCAAAGAGTGTTTTGATTCATTTTAAAAAACCAGAGCCCACTTTAAATTAATGTATATATTTCAAGTGACATTTATGAAAACAATTCTTATTTTTATTTTTCGAACATGTAAGGTAAATTCCTTTTTACCCCTTTAGCAAGTGCTAGTTGTGATTTAAAAGGTATACATTTGTGATATATCTGACCCTTTCATAGAATCTGCTTGTTGCTTCGATACTTGCCCTCGTAGAGGAGAGAAGTTTTGTTGTTGTTGACTAACAGATTCGACTGTAAGAAACAGAGTGTCACAAACTGTTGTATATAATGTTTTAGTTTGACTCGCACAAACTTGTGTGTTTTAAGTGATGAATACAAATACTTTCATGTTGGTTGGTGCTGAGTAATTTTTGCTTTTTTTACTTGTTATAGAAGAAAGCTCCGAGGATGGGATATTGTTGATTTTTGTATTCTTAGTATTTCTAGGCTTCCATTCAGTGGGTACATGTTTATTGCTTGGCTCTTATAGTTAAGCTTTTCCGATTTGTAGGCATGTTCATGTTACCAACACCACCGTGGCGCCATTGTACTTGGATTAAGTAGTTGAGGCTTTAACACAAGGGAACCCGATTAAATCAAAAGCGTATATGTACTTTAAAAAAAAGTTTTTGAAAAAAAAAAACAAAAAATTTATAGTTTAAAGAAGAAGAGAGAAACACTTCAATATAATAGAAGATTTCAAAAATTTTCCAACCTCGTAATATCGAACCTCTGAAAAGTAAAAGCATTATTAGTCAATCTCATCCCATCGACCCGGGCCGGAGTGGGAGATCTAGAGATGTAAATTGGCCAAGCCGCCCATCAAACATGATGATAGGCACGAAAATTTTTATAATTTTTTTCTTTTTTTTATTAATAATTTTTAGAAATTGTTACATATTTCTAAATAAATATAAAAATTATTGTTACAAATAATATTCGTTCGTATTAATTTGTTATCGTTAGTTGTCTCCTCTTTAAGTATTAATTTAAATAAAATAAAGAAATTTGTTAATAAATTAGTACTTATGATTGCATCAAGTTTTTTGTTTATTATTATTATTTTTTTGCTTAGTAATAGAATATGAAATTATATTTTTATTTAAATTACACTTTATTTGAAAACCGTTTAAAAAAATAATTTTAAATGACCCAATGGTTTAATAGACTGGACCAAAGATCTATTGTGCCAAATACGATAAATGCACGAGTACGGCACGAGCATGAATGGGCTTGGGTCGAGCTTATAATTTTGCATATTGGGCTGACACGAGCATGACATGAAATTTTAGCGAGTCAAGTAAATCACGGCACGAAACACGCATAAACCTAACCGATTATAGATTGGATTGACACAACACGACACTTTGAGATCTAAACCATAACACCACAAGGTTAAATCAATTTTTTCATATAATTAATATAGGTCAATGTAAGCTGAGATTCTATTTATTCTTAAATTAATATAGGTCAATGTAAGTCAAGATTCTATTTATTCTTATAGAATTAGTAAAAACTTGCTTTCTGAAGGTGGTTCGAGTATGATTAATAATATGTATCCTTTGAGCTACATAGAGCACAATTTATCATAAATTCTCTTACTTTTAAAATTATTGATTAGATTATTATTGTTGATTTTGAGCTACAAATGAAATGTTGTATATAGAGATGATATTCTTATTCACGGATACAAGTATCTGCAAGTTCTCCTTCTAAATAATACGGGCATGTAAATATTATATTAGGACGGAGGTGTATGAAGTTAAACTTAACCCTCAAATTAGGACGAGACAAAGGAGACCAGACGATCTTAATGAGTTGGGTAATTAGTCAAAAAAAGTTATGATAATTAATTAGCGAAGTTATATAAAATGTAACGTCATCAATTACAATCAATTGTAATTATTTTTTTTTATTTGAAGATTAAAATTTTGTTTTATTTCATGAGACATAAGTAGTTGTGTTTTGAATTTCACATTTGCTTTGAATTTTGATAACATAGCGTATGGGGTGGAAGAAGCATAGCATAGGGTAAGTATACATACATTTTTTAATTAATATGCTTGTATCACATCAAACGTGATTGGATTGAAATTGAATAAAATTCGTATTAGTTTATTGAAGATGAATAATTGGCTTTGAACTTCCTGTTATTTTACCCGTAGAAATGTCATTATATTTATATTGATTTGTGACTAGTCGCTTGATAGTTCAGTAAAAATCGAACCCTTCCTATTCTGTTTGTTGTTTCTATTAATTATTCCCGACATATCAGTTGTTGGTATGTAGGATAACACTTCTCTAATCTAACTATAATCCAAGTCCCATTCTAATCCAGAAAGCAACTTAATAATGCAATTAACCAAAATCATAAACGACAACTACATCACATCTATAATGAAAAGAAAGCGTTCATTGGGACATTCATGCACATTGAGATTGAACGGTTAAACGGTAATTCAATTGTTTCTGTTTGGCAAAGAACTTGTTTATTTACAGAGATCATCATAATAATAATAAAAAAAAAAAAACCCAAACTAAACCATTGTTGAAATAATTATGGACGGTTCACCAAATGATACTTCTCTAAAGACAAATCATTTCTTTTGTTAGCAGCCTCCAATTGGGTATGGGGTTTAACAAGATCAATCAGTTTTATCAAAGAAACTCAACTTAGGTCGTCTTCCTCTTTCTTAACCCCATGGAGCCTCAAAGCTTTTCATGGCCGTGCGATTATCCCAATATGCAGGAAGGGAAACCGAGATTTCACGGCGGGAGCTCGCTTCAATGCCTTAACTCCAAAGGGATTGTCCTTGCTCTGTTTCAGCCAAAACAAAAAAGTCATGACAAGCACAGCAAGATAAAAAATCCTAGAAACCAAAATAATTACAGAAACAAATAAAGTACTATGATTATGGGATTACCACGCGGCAAGTTCCCGCGTCAAGATCGCAGACGGGATAGTCGTGAGGGCAGCAGCTGTAGTGATCATCACAGCAGGTTGCAGACTCAAGAGGGCAGCATCCCCAAGCAAAGCAGTACTTGCCATACTCATAGATGCAGCAGCAGGTGCTGCTCTCAGGGCACGAATAGTATTCATCACAAACAGCCGGGGGCTTCACAGGTGGAGATGGCGGGGATGGCCCGGGGTTGGGAGGGTTCTGACCCTTCTTGATGGGGTATGAGGACTCCATGGCAATTCCACACTTGCCATGTGAGGCACCAGCCAAATTGCGCTCCATCCTGATGTAGCCATTCTCTCCCCAACTTGGTCCCCAAGAGTTCCTCACCTTCCAGTAGTCTACGCCATTTTCTGTTCCGTAACCAATGACGACCACACCGTGGTCTAGTTGAGTTCCACAGCGTCCTGTGAACACACCCTGAATGGATACACAAGAATTAGTGTTGGATTACCAATTCTTTAACAAACTTTCGCTTATAGAGAAGACGGCAAACGTTGGTTACTACTGACAATTTCAGTGACAACATAAGAGAGCTCCAATTCAAACTAAGGCGTCAAAAATATGAAATTGCAATTGCAGCGATTCAAACTCAAGATCACCTACTATAATATCATGTTGTTTATAAATTCGCCCAAAGACTGATAGATCAATAATAAGTAAAATGGATTTAAATAGAGCCATTACCGATTGGTAGAGTTGGAACTCCCGTCCACCAGCTTCAATAGCAACACTAACAGGCTGATTTGCAACAGCCTTCTTCAACGCTTTCTCATCATTTTCAGGCACGTCTTCGTAACCATCAATGGTCACAACGTGAGCGTTTTTCTGCAGAGAATATGCAAAGTTTAGATATAGAAAAAATGCAGAACAAAATCAACCAAGGCAAAGAAAAAATCTTCCACAACCAGAGAAATATGGAATTTTGCTTCAATTTCACACGCACCCTATTAGGATCACATTGACCGTCGCGAGCCTTGTAAGGATAATCTTCTTCGGTGTCAACGCCACCATTGTTGATTATAAACTCAAAGCCATAATCCATGAGACCGCCATTGCAGCCCTGGTTGTAAGATGTGTCACAATCAACCAGTTCTTGCTCCGACAGCGAGATTAGTTCGCCAGTCACGATTTTGTTTATTCCTTCAACCGCACCAATAGTTGAGAATGCCCAGCAACTCCCTTCAATTGGAATCAGTTTCTTACATTAGTTTATGGGGACAAAAGGACATAGAATTATCAGTACTATAGAATGAAGGAGTTTTCTGCATAACAAATTGGTATAATATAGAAGACAGCACCCGATAAAATTAATCAAGCAATACTACCAAAGTTAAATAATATTTCTTCTCAAAAAACTAAAATTCTCCAAAATCTGCTGCTTTCCAGACTATTTTCCGGGAAAACAACAAAAGAACAAACAAACGGTCAAAGTCTCCATAACCAAATCTAACAACCCAATCAAACAACCATGTGCCGAATTCCACGATCAAAACTGAAAACACAATCCATCAACATCCGTACCAGAAAAAACAAATCCCTGGGACACAAAAAAAAGAACCAAAAACAATTAAAAAAAAACTCACCGCATTGTCCTTGATCTTTGACCGGAGCAACCGCGCCTTTGTCCCTCCAATCGATGGACTCCGGCAACTCATCGCCGGCTCGAAAAGCGTAGCGATCGCTCTTCCTCGAGCCAAAGAGTGTGCCTATCCGGTCGATCTTGACCCCCAAAAACCCGGCCCTGTACTCGTCGTTGGTGAGATCGGCGAAGCGGTTAAGGCCGAGCTTGAAGGTCCGGTTGGCGGCGTTGTGGGCGTCGACGAAGCGGAGATTATCCTTAAAGATCTCGAAGCGTCTCTCCTTCTCGCGGAGGGCGTTGTAGGCTTTGGCGTGAATGACAAGCCACGATTCGTACATGGCCCTCATCTCCGTCTCGCTCCTCTCGGTGGGGACCACAATGCCGTGCTTGGCGTCGTAGTCTATGATTGACATGTCCGGGGAGGCCCACGAGAAGCCCACCAGAAAGGAAACAAGGACCAGAAAAGAAAAAGAAATCACAGAAGGTCTACGAAGAATCGCCATTATTGAGGGAGGGAGAGAAGAGAAGTTTTTTGGGTTTGGGGGACACTTTCGTAGAGTATTGGTACTATATATGGTGGGTCGAGTACGAGAAGGATGTTTGCGCGAAGAGCCTGGATCGGAGGAAATCGAAACGTTTTTCTTTTCTTTTCTTTTCTTTTCTTTTTGCGGAATTGGGATTAGCTAAAAAAACCCTACATGGGATGCGAAACTGCGTCCAGATACGGAGTGTTATTGGCTGTATGAGTAATCTCTCTCTCTCTCTCTCTCTCTCTCTCTCTTCGTTTTTTTTTTTTTTGATGAAAGAGTAATATCCCATGTATTTTGGGTGCATGTTTATCTGTAATAATTTAAAAAGGTGAATTCATCCATTCGAAGATAACAATATAATCGTTTTTTCTAAATAAAAAATGGATAAAAGTATAGTTATAGATGCTTAAAACGCGTAAGTATGATTTTGTTCTATAATAAAATATAAGATAATATTGAACACATTCAAAGTATATTGTGTACCTATTTAATAAAAACAATAATTCAAATATAAAATAATAGGTAATGATTATAGATGGAAGAATGAGCAGGCATGACATGCCCAACTCATTCTCCTTAGGCCCACATTAGTTGTGGGTCGGGCCGATCAAACGCATTATTTTGATGGGCCTTGTCGAGCCAACTTATGTAAGAGTAATCCTTAGCTCCGTACGCACGACAGGTTGATTTTTTATGGGTTAGACTGGATCGTATCATGAGCCAGATTGGGTCGACTTATTCAAGCCCATCTACAAGTTATGATGGGCAGATCTATCTTGGTCCATGCATTTCGATGGGCCAAGCCATTTTAATATGTAGTTTCAAAATTTATTTATTTTTTAATATTTGTTTTTAAAATTTTAAATAAATCAACAAATATAAAATTTTAAATAGTCAATAGAAATATAAAAAGAAATATTTTATTTACGACTGTCTCATTATAAACCTTTTAAAAAAAAAATCTAGTGATGAGGGAGTATTTTAGGCTCCATTCATTTCGTTGATTTGAGTTTAGAATTCGAGTTTTGCTACACTAAAAACCCTCACAAACAATCACATCTAACTTTTTTGCTACAGTAAAAAGTTCTCACATAAAATCACATCTCAACTCGAATTAAAAACTCGAATCAGCGAACTAAACGGGCCCTTATTCACAAATCAAGTACTTGCATCTCTAGTAATAATCTTAGGCCTCGTTTACTTCGCGGATTCGAGTTTTCAATTCGATTGAGATGTGACATTTTCTAAGAGCTTTTTACTGTAGAAACTTAAAACTGAAAACTCGAATCGGTGAAATGAACGAGGTAATGTTTTTGTTAGTGTGGGGGTAAACTGAATGGATTTCAGTCCACGTGTGAGAATTTTGACTTAAAGAAAAGCCCACGTGTAAGAGCGACTACTTGGTATAAATTTTTTTTTTTTTTTGGTTTTTCATTTTGTGATAATTAATCTCTAAAATTGATAAATTACCTTCTGGAAGTACTGTGTTATTTTGATCCAAAATTTTTTTCATTAAGAGATTACTCATTGGACTTTGATTTTTACATTGATTAATCATGTCTCAACTGCATAGTAATTAAAGGACTAATTTCATAGAAAAATTGGTTGACATCAAAACACGAGGAACATGAAGAAATGAGTATCTTAAAAGTTTTTCCTAAAACATCTAGGATCGGACTCATGTTGTTATGTAAAAAAATTAATTGTTTGTACTTAGAGGAGCAAATAATCTGAAAGATCAAGCATTCCAAATCAACGGCCTTTCTTACTATTCTCCTTTTCTTAATTAACTAATATGTGGGTGTCGATTGGATATTATCTCAGACTTCTAAATTCTTGCACAGCTCGGATCTCGCAGGCAACCTCCCCATGGTGCTCGGATCTTTTCCTCATGCAGCTCAAATCTCGCCGACAGCTTCCTCAAAGGCTAACAAATGAACCACACAAGCGAATGAAACGACACATAAAAGCAAAGAAGGAAAAAAAAAATCGCCACCACTTCAAATCTATAATACAAATAAAAAAAATTTTGATCAGATCACCGTAGAACAAAATTCTATATAAAATTGGATTCGTAAACAAAAAAGTTGTAAAAAAAAACAAAAAAAATCCCAGTGCTGGAGATTCGAGAAAGCAATGAATTGGACTAGATTCAATGCTAGCTCTCACTTGTGGCAGCCTCCGGTGCTTTGAGGTGGAAGATTTTTGAGTTTAGTGACCTCTCTAGAAACATCTATGGAAATGAATCCACATTTGAATGCCTGACTATGTGATGAGAGCCCAACTGCTGAATTGCATCGATGGCACAATGAATGAGATGAAGAGAGAGGAATAAGATGGTAAAACGGAGCTCCTAACTGCCAGATAAAACTCCTGCGGCAAGACGAAGCTCACGACGACTACTCAAATGGATAGAGAGAGAGAGAGAGTTAACACGTGACGAATTCTGTCACTCAGTGTAACGGAAGAGACAAAATTATTAACGGAATAAAGTGTGGGGAGAAAATGTGTTACGTTTTAAAATTTAAGAAACAAAGTGTTACAAAAATCATAAGGAAAATTTTTGAAATTAATCCAAAAAACAATTATCCCACGTATGGGGCAAGCCATAGCCAAACAAATTATGTGGTTCTTTCTTCAGCCGAGAGAGAGAGAGAGAGAGAGAGAGAGAGAGAGAGAGAGAGAGAGGTCAAATTGATTGAAATTTGAAATCCCCACCTCAAATAAGTTGCGGTAGAAATACAAATCCACTTGAAGTTTGTGGCATACAAACCGATTTCCTCAGGTGAATTAGAGGAATACCATGATCTTTGTAACACCTCTCTCTCTCTCTCTCGGCTGAAGAAAGAACCACATAATTTGTTTGGCTATGGCTTACCCCATACGTGGGATAATTGTTTTTTGGATTAATTTCAAAAATTTTTCTTATGATCTTTGTAACACTTTGTCTCTTAAATTTTAAAACGTAACATCATTTCTCTCCAAACTTTATTCCGTTAACAATTTTGCCCATTCCGTTACACTGAGTGACAGAATTCGCCACGTGTCAATTATTTAGCCAATCTGAGGATGATATTATCGTAAAATATAATGTAAAAATCCCAAGTTATTAAAAAAGGGATTAAAAAACTCAAATGTGTAAATGAACAAAGGATTAATCCATTCTGTCAATTATGTTGGTGAAGTTAGGGTTAGAAGTTTTTCCCCAAAAAGAAAGATTAGAGAAACAAAATCAATCTTCTTTGTAAATCTCAAGTATTAATATATACATGCATGTATGTGTATATGTCTATGTGTGTGTGTGTATATATGTCTGCGTATATAAATATAACCAAGTTTAAGCTTGAACATCCACTTTAATTTGTTTGAGAGAACCAAGAAAACTTTTGGGCACACCAGATTCTTGTGAATCTTCACAACCCTTGTTAATGGGTAGGTTTTTTTTTTTTTTTTTTTCTTTTTCCCTGTCTTCCTCTTCTTCTTCCTCATGCTCTGTTCTTCGATTTCTGTTTCTGGGTTCTTTGAGTTTTCGTGATTTTTAGTTTACTTTCTCTCATCTTTTGTGGAATTAAGATTTGGGTCTTTGGGAGATTCGTGGTCTTCTTCTTGGTTTTTCTCTTTGTCCTCAAAAAATTTGAAGATGGTGAATTCCGGGAATGAAGATGGTGAATTCTGTCGATTAATTCATGGGATCTAATCTGATTATGAGGGTATAAGCGTAATTATACTTTCAAATCTCACTAAAAAAGTGACACGTGACATTTTCGTCACTCATTGTAATAGAAGGGAAAAGCTTGTTAACGGAACAAAGTTCAGGGAGAGCGGATGTTACGTTTTGAAATTCGAAGGGTAAAGTGTTACAAGAGTCATAATTTAGGAGAAGTTTTGAAATTAATCATTATTTTTTTTTTGGACGAAATTTTAGATAATGTATATTTGGTAATTTTACAAGTATTGTAACATAAATCCTGGAAACACTTGAAGGATTTCACCTTGAGGATGTCTTAGATTTATGGCTTTCTAACGAGTCAAAAAATCTCTCTCTCCATAAAAGAAAAACAAACAGCCTCTTTAATTGAATAAAATTGTGTACATGTTGGACAAGTTTTCAGAGAGCATAATAGAGATGCATTGTTCAAGATTTAATACCAACACATAGTTTTCTCTCATTTTTTCTTCAACAAAGCTTTCCATGATAGTTTCAAAACAACCCTTTAAGTAGTTTATTTAAATAATTATCCATAATTTGATATTATGTTCATTTTCTTAAATAAGATCTTAGGTTTGAGTGACAACTGAGTACATGGACAATCTATTTTACATTTCCTATCACACAAGAAAATCTCTTATCTAACTAAAATTGTAAGGGTTTGCCACATTTCTATCCCATGTTAAACCCTTTTTTTCTTACATATATATAAAGGAGTCATCATGACTCTATTGTTTTTTTAGTCGTCCAAAACAACTCGTTTGACTCTAGTTCTTTGTTTCTTAAAGATGTGTATTAGTGAATTACATAAATTAAAGACCTTTGCTTTTTATCGTAATCATAATCTTACATTCTATCTTATTATATATCGTTCATTTTTTTTAATGTTTTACACACCATTTTGATGCTTCTGCTTTTTTTTTTTCCTCTTTTCTTTGCTTCTCTCTCTGTTTTTTTTCCTTTTCTATCGACTCTTTTTATTTTTTTCTTTTATTTTCAATACCCTTTTTGATGCTTCTTTTTAATTCTTTTGCTTCATTCATTTAGTATTCATTTCATAGTAGTCCAAAACAACGAGTGCTAGTTTTTTTCCCCTCTTCTTTTTAAGTTTCAACTCAATTTTTCTTATTTTATTTTGTTATCTTAAGAATTAAAAATTTTCATGTATTTAATCATATAAACTTTTAAATTAGACTACTATTTATGTACCTCTTTTGAATAATTCTTAAGATCTTTTTTTTTTTAAAATTTTTTTCCTACATATCATTTTCGATTTTTACATTATAAAAATTTTAACCATATCTCATTACGTGCATTGCACTTACCTAAACTAGTCTTCATAAAAAAAATTGAGAGTTAGGTCGCTCTTCGATTTCATTGCATAGAAACTGCTAGATATAATGACTTTACTATTGTTGGGAAAACTAATACTAACAATTACGAAATAAAACTTTCCCTCTTTGTGTGCTAAAATAGGATCTCAAATAAAATGCCAACAAAGTCAAATAACCAATGCACCAATTAATCAAAATAAACAACCATAAATGAAACACCAATTTTTAACGTGAAAAACCTCTCAAATTGAGAGTAAAAACCACGAGACCCTTAGGCCACT